TCACTTTGTGTGTGGTCTAAATTCAGTGTGTGAAGTAGTCAAAACACTGCAAATCAGAAAATTTCAGCCCCTTCAAACTTAAGTTGTATAGGGTTTAAGGGCTTTAAGCCCATCATTTGTCTCATCCCAATTCCCACATAATTTAGGAAGAAAAGGGCAAAAAAAAAAAAAAACAAAAAAGAGGCTTTGTCCATGCTGCATGCATTATACCTGCAACCTTCTGATGATGTTGCTAGCTCCATAAACTTTGTGGACGATGTTGAACCTCAATGGTTCCGAGGAAGGAAAATAAGGGGCCAAGACACATTTGTCGGAACATCTACGGCGGAGAGATTTGCATGCTGCGCAAGGATACTGGGTAGGTGGTGTTGCATTTTGATCAGGAGATGGTGGAGTATTCTGCTGGCGGCAGTGTTCCATATTTTGCAATGGAAGGTTTTATGTTTGGAACTAAATCCAAAGCTCTGAAGTATTATTATGTTGGTTTGAGTCGTTGCTTTGGAGTTTATGGAGTTGGTTTTGGTGATCCATATATAGTCTGTAGTCAAATGATACTGGCAGAAATGCAGACAAAATTTATCAACAAGGACTACGGAGGGGCGACCATATGCAAACAATTTCTTAGCCATGTCTTTTTCTTACAGCTGTATAGTTTACCTGGAAGCTAATCGAGGCAAACCCAAAAAAAAAAAAAGTCAATTTGGAAGTCATTCCAAAGATTATATATTATCCTAAACTATGTTAACATAGGATTCCAAAGATTATGCATTTTTTTTCTACATTAAAACTCCACGTTCTTAATTAATAATGTAAAAATGTGTCTGTCTAGGCATTTTCTCAGTACAAACTCATGATGTAATGAATATCTTTATAAATATAAGTTGCTGTTTTGGAAGAAGAAAAAAAAAATGAATTCCAACTACAAGTGGATGGTCAAGATTCAAAAAGCCATCTCAATCAGAAGGACATGGTTAATAGAGGACCTTCCAGCTTGTTTTCAGACTCGTATAACCAGGAAATTGAGGTTTAATTTTCCACTCGTCAGGTATAGGAATATTAATACTAGTAAAAGTCAGTGTTGAGATCTATTCAGCCCAGCTCCGGTTTGAATTTACAGCCAATACATACTCCAATATCAAATGGGATTTTGCTGTACTCAACATCTTACGTTGACTCATGCAGACTTATTCCAGAGGCAGAGAGGCATGAGGGAAGACTAAAGGTGAAATTCAAGACTCTGCTAAATTTCCATCAAAGTATACATCTCTGGTGTGTAGTAATTAATTTTTTAAGTCAACGCTTGAGAAAGGCACAGGGAATTGGAAAAACGAATGTGTTCATATTTCATATCATGTATGTCATTGTATATAGTAGCGTAATTAGACAGGCAAACGAAGATTTTACTAGTCTCAAACCAGTGTCCTTAAATATTAATTTCCATCAACTTACTCCTTAAACTTTTCCACTTGTCTTGCAAAACGGTCATTCCAGTCACCCCATTGCTGTTTTGATCTGCATCAAAGAGCTTCCAAGTCGATTTATATTACTACCTCTTTTTTTTTTTTGTCCATCTTGCACAGCTTTTTCTGTGGTGGCGTAGCGCGCCTTAGCAGAAATTATTAGGTGTAAGATAAAAGAGTAAATCTTACATGTACTGACAGTATATACAGTATCAGTATTAGATTCATATAGCACAAGTACAAAAGTTGGATTTTATATTCAAATTCTACATAATTATCATTCATCCAGAACTGTTATTCATCTACTAAAAAAGCCCTTTGCTACAAAGATGTCTGAAAATAAAAAGGTTTTCAGTCACATTGAAATAAGAAAATAATGTGTCTGTTGCATTTAATATTTTCTTCTCGCTGACAAAGTTGAGATAGAGACTAGAGTAGATTATCTTAATTTGCAAGTGTGTGAAAATATATATATATATATATATATATATATCATCAACTTCTTGTTTCTATTTCTTGACCCATCAATAGCACTTGAATATATCATAGCAATTTCTTCACAAGTATAGATATAATAAGCACATCATCAGTGGTTTATCTCAGCTTCTTCCACCACAAGTAGAAGATTTCACTGTTCAAAGCAAATAATTTTCTAAAGTTGATTATGGTAGTATGTATGTATTTCTTTTATTGTCCATTAATTTGAAGAAAAAGGCACTTGAATGACCAAAGTCAAAGCCGAAATCTATGCGATATGTAAACTGTGTTCTGTTGCCTTCTTCCAGATTCCATCTGTTTTCAACTTAATAAATCACATATTCACGTTAGCATGCATGTGAGTCAAGTATATCACTGTAGTATCTGTCTCATTTCATTGCAACAAATTAAATTGGAAAGGCCCTTTTCATCTCACTTTCACTGGTGGACTTGAAAATCTCAAGTCTTTGACAACGAAATTTAACCATTAAAACCACTTATTTCTACAAGAAAAGTATGCCTATTTTTTGTTTCCTTTTCTTCTAGTATTAAACAATGTTAAAAACCTCAAGAATTCAAGATCATGACCAAGAAATCTGCCAATTGCATGCAAGATTTGGGTTCGAGCGTCTCAACAATCACCAATTTCAATTGTTTGGTACACTGTAGATAATAACACAACTGATGTAGATACTAAGACATATAACAAATGTAGATACTAAAACAATAATATATATATATATATATATATATATATATATATATATATATATATATATATATATATATATATATATATATATGAAAAAAAGAACAAATTTTGGCAGTCTCTGAAAATTGTGTCCTCAAATCAATCTTATTTGCCCAATTTTCAAATTGAATCCATCCCCATCATTACCTGCACCGACGATTTTATGACCCCTAATCCGGAGATTTATATGTCATACCGAGACTCTTTTAGCTGCGTGGACTGGTAAGGAGCTTATAATTTGAGGAAAAAAGCCTTGCATGTGTACGACTTACATTTTGTGGAAAGGGTCAAAACAATGAGATATTGATCCGATGTGCTCAACATTGAAATTCATTCGTCAAACAAAAATGTATTAGCCGCTGCTACAGTATACTTTGAGGGTACTTTCAGCTTCTCAGTTTCACATTTGGGATTCCATTTTCCTCTTTGGTCAAATTTCAGTTGTTGATATACCATTTACTAGAGTCCACTTTTTTTTTTTTTTTTTTTTTTTTTCTGGGCAAACGATAACATAGCTCGTATTTCAGCTTAAAGAAAAGGAAAAAATCCACTTTTCATCCTCAAACTTTATGACGAAGGCACATTTGGTTTCCAAACTTTTCGTTAGAACACATTGAGTACATGAATTAATGATTTTTTGCCACATTTAGTCAAAAAACGGGAATTCACTCAATTTGGATGGTGAAGACCACGTGGCCGTTAACAAATGTCCAAATATCAATTTATAACGAATACAAGTCAGACACGAGTTCACACTTGACTCTCTCTCTAATCCACTGCTTTTCTTCTCCAAGTTTTCCCCTTTCCCACCGAGTTAATAAAGTGAAAAGCTGCTTGAGATTAGCAGAGTTAATGGAGTGATTCAACAAAGCTTTTCCAATCCAGTATATTTAATATAAATTAAATGATTCAGAGTAAAATACTCATAAATAACTATTGCTTTGTTCGTGTAATAGAGGAAACCCATAAAGAGCTGATATATTATGGGCAATTTCTTTTTTTTTTTAAAAACTTTCACGTATTTAATTTATGTTAAATATAAAACCTACTAGTTTTCCTTTTGTAAAAATATTAGTAGATCACTTTTTAAATTTTACTTACAAACATTTATGTATTTAACATAAATTATATGATTCAAAGTAAAATACCTATAAATAGCTAGTACTTTATTCATATAATAGAAGAAACCCGTAAAGAGCTAGTAAAAAGTAGGTAATTTCTTTTTTTTACTTTCACGTATTTAATTTATGTTAAATACAAAACCTACTAGTTTCCCTTTCGTAATAATATTAGTGTAACACTTTTTGAATTTCACTTATAAACATTTATGTATTTAATATAAATTAAATGATTCAAAATAAAATGCTCATAGCTAGTACTTTATTCATATAATGAAAGAAACTCGTAAAGAATTGGTATGTTATGGACAATTTTTTTTACTTTCAAATACTTCATTTATATTAAATACAAAACATGCTAGTTTTCCTTTCGTAAAAATATTTGTGTAACGGCTTTTGAATTTTATTTGCAAATATTTATGTATTTAACATAAATTAAATGATTCAGAATAAAATGCCCATAAAACCTGGTACTTGGTTCATGTAATGGAGAAAAGCCATAAAGAGTTGGTACTTTATGGGATATTTCTTTTTTAAAAAATATTTAATTTATATTAAATAGATAACCTACTAGTTTTTTTTCATAAGAACTTACTGTAACACTTTTTGAATTTTACTTAAAAATATTTATATATTTATTATAAATTGAATGTTTGAGAGTAAAATGTCCACAAAAAACTAGTATTTTGAATAGGTAATGCCCATTAGGTAAGAACTTAAAATAATACCAAAATGGACAACTTGTTCAAGGAATTGTGTAATGTCCATAAAAAGCTGACTTTTGTTGGTTATAAATTGATATTTGGACATTTGTTAACGGCCACGTGGTCTTCACCGTTCAAATTGAGTAAATTCCTGTTTTTTGACTAAATGTGGCAAAAAATCATTAATTCATGTACTCAATGTGTTCTGACGAAAAGTTTGGGGACAAAATGCGTCTTTGTCACAAAATTTAAGGATGAAAAGTGAATTTTCTCCTAAAGAAAATATAGTATGGGTTTGTTTGGATTGTAAGTTATTTGGGATATTTTTACTGTAGCACTTTTTGTGATGTGATGTATATTAGATAAAAAGGTACTTGGAAAGATAAAAAGGTGTATTGGAAATTGTAATGATGATGTAAGCAAATAAAATTTGGCTAATCTAGATAGACCAAAGAGGGAAGGAATCCTTCCACATAATCTCACTTATTAAGTTTATGGCATACAAACTTCGCCAATTTGTGACTAACATATATATAGTTTCCTTTTCTTTTAACAAAAGAGAAGTAACATTTTCCAAAGCTTAATTTGTTTGAGCAGCTTGCTGCTGATGTCCTCCACAACCATGCCATGCCAATCATTTATATTGTCCTCATTTTGCCACTTTACAGTCTGATTGCGCTTCAATGCTTTCCCAGCCCTGCTCCTGAGCTTTAATGAGTAGTGCAGTTTTTCGAAAAATGATGGCCAAAAAGGGCATGTGTTCTTGTGTACAAGCTGTTCTAGCTTTCCCTGCAATATGTGGGTCACCAAGATTATACATAGCTGGAACTAGAAAAACATTTCAGATCACCATATGCATCATCAATTCAAGGCTAAATGTAAAAGAGCAGAGTCTTGAGCCCAGTTGTGCATCAATTAATTATAAAATAGCGTTTTACTTAAAAAGTGCATTAACATAGAAGAAAAGATTAAAAAAAAAGTTTAATATGGTTTAGAAGAAGAATAAAGGAGCTAATAATTGATTGACTTAGAGACAAGTGAGTTTAAGCTAGTCTTCGAATTTTCCTGTCGCTGCATAGAATCAATGGTATGCCAAGAATTTCTGCAACCTCTATGAGGGCACCTATACTTCTGACAACACAAGAGATAAGATGTAGTCGAGATAATATTGTTTTGGTACAGGAGTAATGCCTATACAAAGTATACAATTAACTGCCAAAAAGCAGTGCAAAAGAATAATCTAACCATCCATGGAATAAGGGATCTCCAAGGTAATGGACAGAACAAATCAGGGGTCATACCATAGCTCTACATATTACAACTGCCAAAACTATAGCTCTCCAATTTCTTTTCCAACAAAGTGTCCAGAAAATAGCTTGAGTGGCAAGGCTGCCATGCCTTTCTGTTTTGGAAACTCTGTCTTCTCTCACCACCACGTCAAAATTTTATGCTCTTAGCTAGGCATCAGACAATAGAAACTAATCCAGCTCCTGATAGCACTCAGCAATCACAAGCCATCCTAAAATCTTATATGCTTTTAGGTACCAGACAAGACCCGATAAGGCAGCAGATGATCTGTGTTCTCACCAGCCCATCCACCTGTTTCACATAGAGCACCAAGTATGCTGAACCTTTGTCTTCTACCTTATCATCTGTGAAAATAGCATTGCAATTACAGCATCAATTAGAGCTCCAACTTTCCTACGATATTTGATAATCAAATAGAGGGTACCCACTCGCTCCAATATCATATCAGCAGCAAAAGGGACCAACAGGGAAAAGCCCATGAATCCTGTTTATCTCAAAACAGCCTCCATGGTAAGACCAAAGTTGCACCTGTAAATTCTACTGTGTAGATCCTGGAAAGGTTTTCTCTCAATCTTGAGAATGCTTTCTAAACTGGATATACTCCATAACAGCTCTAGATAAACCTGCTCCACTGCTACTGACAACTGCCACCTCAGCAGACACTAACATAAAAGGGAAGGGAATTCCACCTTCAGAGTGGCATTACCACATCAAACACCACAAGATCTGAATGCTAATGTGATTGCCACCATAAAACCAACCTGAAGCAGTTGAAAATGAAACCCAACCAGTTTTCAGATGCTCATCCTGACACTCGAACTTGAAGAAAGAAGGTCCACAGTCAACCTCTTGCTCATGTAGCAGCAACACAGACAGCCACCTCCAATAACTTAGAACTGCTATTCTGTGTCAAAAGTGTAAGACTTTCCAACTTATAACTACAAAGAAAAATACAATGCTTCCTTTTGATTACTAAAAATAACTCTCAAAGCAACTGTTCAATTCATAAACAGATAGCATGCTTTTCTGTGTCTGTGAAAAGAAAAACATTAATGTATATGACCATCATCACATGAAATTGCTCAGATTAAAGATGTATTGCAGCACGTGCTCCAGATTAAAGAAATAGTACAATTCATGAATAGATGGTATGTTTCTCCTGTGTTTATGAACAGAAAGACATTGATGTACGACGGTCATCATATGGACTTGCCAAAATTGAAAAGAGGAACTGCAGCACATGCTTCATATGACAGAACTTTTAAACTAAACGTCTAAAGGTCAGTATCTCAAGTTATGCAGCATCAGAGATGCACATATCTAAGGGACAATAATGGCGGACACTAAACAACAAATTTTTACTTCACCTGAATCTTAAGCATCGTCAACTAGTAGATAGTTATGCACGCATCCAAGAAGCACATCAACCTGCCAACCTAATAGCAGTATAACAACTCTTACACAGAATTGTGTTGACGGCCTCACATGTGGATCTTGTGATGTAGGTAAAGGCTAATTGGATTTATGGAATCACCAAATGTCGCTTTTCTTACAACCCCTAACATCACTAATACCTACAAAATATAGATCGTACGGTATTTATCCTTTCGCCTGACCTTAATTACCAATTATGCCTCGAAATGCAAGACTATACCTCATGTTCATGTTTTAGATATGCATAACACATAGTGAGACACATAATAGACAAGTCCTTCACAAGCATCCTAGCTGAAAGACATGATTAGAAATAGTCAAACAACATTTCAAGAGTTTCTATGGGAGTGTTGGGATTCAATACAGATTTGACACAAGTAATGCTTGCTTGAACGTGTCATCATGCTTAGCTCTATTAATGAAGTCACACATTCAGTATGAACCAGAATAGACATACCAACATATCAAGCTTCACAATGTAAGGAAAATGTTAATAGTAAAAAAGAAAGAAGGAAGAAACAACCTTACTTGGTATGGCCAACTATATTTTTCCAGTTTGCAAAGGAGATGAGCCACGCAACACCAAAACAAAAATCAAACAGACTTCAGTGTACTTTTCCTCCTCTTGACAAGCCCATTCATTAGGGCAATATATGCAGATCTGTGAACAGCAATACCCTTCTTAGTCATTTCTCCATATATGTGCATGGCATCTTTGAATCTCCCTTTAGTACATAGCTCAGTTATCTGCTCTGCAGTAGCAATAGAACTTTGATCAAACTGATCTGATGATTCACCAGCGGCATCTTGCTCTTTGTTTATTGCTGCAGGTAGGTCAAATGATATTCCCATTTCAGCCATTTTTGGCAGGAGCTCCTTCGCTTCATTTATTCTTCCCACATCAGCAAATGCACCAACAATGGCATTATATGTGTAACTGTCAGGCTCTAGCTTCTTTTCTTGCATTTCAGCAACAAGGCCCAATGCCTCATCAAGCCTCCCTTCTTTACATAAGGCCGTTATCAATGTGTTGTAAGTTACTGCATCAAGAACTTTCCCCTTCGATATCCATGTTTTAAATAGCTTGATAGCTTTTGAAAGCATCCTTTCCCTGCAAAGCCCACGAAGAAGAATATTGCATGTATAGATGCCAGGTTTGAATGATTTCTCAACCATTTTATTGTGAAAGAGAAATGCTTTCTCAATATTTCCCTCCCAGCAGTAGCCTTGAATAATTGTGTTGTAGGTAATTTCATCAGGGACCAACCCATTCTCCAAAAGCTCATTGAGTTTCCCCATTGCTTGTTCAGTTTTTCCAGTCTTGCAAAGCCCTGCTATCACAGAGTTGTATGTGATAATGCTGGGAAAAATACCTTTTTCTTTCATCTCACTCCAGAGCTTGAGAGCTGTGTCCACATTTTCATCTTTAAAGTAACCGACAATTAGAGTGCCATAACTAACTTCATCGACAATATAACCTCGCTTTACTGCACTCTTAAGTAAGTCACGTGCCTCATTAAGCATCCTTTGTTGACAAAGAGAGTGAAGAGCAGTATTCAGAGTCACAGTATCCATTTTCAAACCTTTACCACCCATTTCGTTCATCATTCTAAAAGCTTCAGCCAAGTTCCCAGCTTTGCAGTATCCGCTTATCAAAGTGTTGTAGGTTAGACAATCTGGAGAAAACCCATCCTCTTCCATCCTACGTAAAACATCACTAGCTTCACGCATCTTCCCTGCATTACTATACCACTTAACCACGATATTATGAGTAACCTCATTTAGTTTCACTCCTCTTCCTTTCATCTCCTCAAGCAACTGAAAAGCCTCAGAACTCTTTCCATTTTCGAAGCACCCGTTAATCAAAGTATTATAAGTAACCACATCGGGATACAATTTCAACCCCTCCATATCGTCACGAAGCTTAAAGGCCTCATTAATCCTTCCCTCATTGCACAACCCGTTAATCAACATATTGTAAGTCCAAATGTCAGGCAACAAACTATTTTGGGTCATCAACTCAGTGATCTTAGCAGCATCCTTCAACCACCCCATTTTACAGTACCCGTTAACCAAGATATTATATGTATTCCTATTCGGAACCAACCCTCTGTTCTTCATATCGAGCAATAAATCACGAACCTCTTGCAACCTACCCTTCTTACCTAAGGCATCCAATATCGTATTATAACTCACACTATCTGGTTCACAACCAAACTCCTTCATTTCATTCAACAAATTAGTAGCATCTCTGAACTTATATTCCAAACAATATCCGCTTATCAAGATATTAAAAGTATTTGTATTTGTCTTAACGCCGAGCTTAAGAGCATCATTCAATAACTCTTTACAAAAATGGACTGAGTGGGTGGAAGGGTACTTTACCAGCGAATTCAAGAGGGTATTGAGAGTGAGTAGATTCGGGCGAAGGCGGAGGCGCTTCATCTTCTTGAAAACCATGGCGGCGAGGTGGGTGTGGCCGCATTGGCAGTAGGCGCCAATGGAAGTGTCCAAAAGGGCATTATTGGGCGGAGGGAGGGATTTGGAGGGGTGGAGGAGGTGGTGGTGGAGGTTGTGGCGGGGGTGATCGGAGGAAATGAAGGAAAGGAGGAGGGCCTTGGCATCGGCAAATTTGTTGCGGCGGAAGAGGGAATTGAGGAGGGAGATTAGGGAAGGGAGGGGGAGGGTGAGGCAGGGCTTGTGGGATTGCACCAGCTTGAAGAAAGAGAGGAGGGAAGTGGAGTGGGAGGAGAGGAGGGTGGGGGAAGTGAAAATGGAGTGGAGGATCGGTGGGGTTAGGTGGGGGAGATAAGGGCGGAGGAGGGCGGAGTTGGGCGGCGATAAGGGGCTTTTTTGGGTGGTGAGGAGGTTGGTGATGGTGGTGATCAGTTGAGAAGGGTTTAAGGAGGGGTTTGGAGGGGGATTTGGGTTCATTTTCTGTGATTCAAGGTTTGATTCATTGAGGAAGCAAATTCCGTTAGATTGCTTAAACTCGAAAGAAGTACCGGAGCAGAAGAAAGATTATTGACCCAAGTATTATTCGTGTGCCACAAAAGTGAAAAACATATCCAATTCTTTTGCACCGGCACAAGAAAAGCACAGGTGAACATAGCGGAAACGATGAATGCGGCCGGTATTGAGTATCTCTTTTATTGGGTACAATTATTTTTTGGTGACATGCAAGTTCTTAAATTTCTCAACTCGAATATATATATATATATATATATAAGCCCCTCGGGTCAGCTCAGCCGGTGAATCCATGGGATATTCCTCATGGTGGCACAGGTTCGAATCTAACTTCACATATCGCCTGTATGCTCTTAGGGGGCGGGGTACACAGGTGCAAAGGGATTAGTCGAGCTCTTTACGGATTGATCCGGACACCATTTGTGTTAAATATATATATATATATATATATATATATATATATTCTACGCATCATCAGTCTAAAAGTAGGACCCGGCTGTGATGACAATAAGAAAAATGATCTACTCAACAACGTTTAATTTTTTTTTTTACAACGAATATTTTCTAACCATTTACAATGATCATTTTCTGGCCATTTTACAACGGACATTATTGACAACAGACATTTTAGTTTTCTCCCCATAAATACATAAGGCATTTTTTTTTATTTCACTTCGCAATCTCCTACTCCTTATTCATTGTCTTAATCCTCTTTCCATAATTTTCTAAAATTTCAGTATTTTGTCATTATGATGAGAATTTTAGTATTTCTAAAAGTAATTAATTTCAAAATAATAAATTTATTTATTTATCGGATATGAGTTGTGTATTATTAAAATAAATATTTGATATACTTGTGAACCCTTCCTATTATATACTCTGTAATGTAATTCATTGCAGGTAAGAGTATAAATGTATAATAAAAAGGAAATAGTGAAGTACTGGCGTTGCATGTATTACTGTGGATGCCTGCATAATAAAGAGTGAGGGCCCACCAAAATCCTCCTCTTGTTTTCTGACTGTAAGCTGTTCTTCTTCTTCTGCCACAATATTACACTAGTAGCAGTACTGAAGTCGTAGCTCCAAAAATGGAATCTTCCAACGGTTCAAAGACGTCGCAGCCGGCGCCGGCGGTGGTGAAGCTGAAACCCATTGAAGCCACTCCAGAAACCTTCCAAGAATTCGGCCAAGTGATTGAGGCCAGCCCTGATGGTGAAGAGTTTGGCCCTGCTGACGCTCAACTTGACCTCTCCCGTGGGATTCCAAGGTTCCCTCTTCCCCTCCCCCTCCCCGGTCTCTGTCTCTCTCTATCCATCTCCTTGTTTGATTTTGATGTTAATTGTGAATTTGCAATAATTAATTGATGTATTAAAAAATTGCCTTGAGAGCTATTTGGGGGCGTTGAGTTCGTTTGGGTTTCTGCTAAATTTATTTGCTTTTGTTTTGGGTGAAGTGGACTTCTCATTGGCATACTGTTTCATTGCTAGTGTTAATTTCTTTGGTTTTTAGAAGATATAATACCTAAGAACATAACAATTATTACTACGTCAATAAAATTTCAGCAACGGATAGTTTTTCTGTATTGATTAATCGAAGGATTAAGTATACAAGTCCATTCAAACATAGGGCGCAAGGTCATTTCTGCACTTTTTTCTAAATTCTATCTTGCTATTATTAAAAAACTTGACCTGGAAAAATAGCAGCTTGCATGTTTCATTTCATTTTTCTAGCGCCTTCTTACTGACAGGGAGCTAGGCTTTTAAACGAGACAATTTGGGTGAGTGTCAAGCATGCTTAACTTTTCATGGGTACACAATAATCAATTGAGGAGTCCAAATTTCCTCTTTCATGCTATGACACCTAACAAAAGTTGGCACCACGATAAGAACAATTTTTCATACACCAGATATTTTGCTCTTTTCAACTGGACAAAGTAACTTCTTTTATTCGTGCTTTCTATGTATGCCTACTTTTCCAGGTTTTATATTATGCATCTTGAAGATAGGGCTCTCAAGTTTTCCAACATAACCCATCATGCTAATGTCACCCAGTGTTTGGGTTCAATTGGTGGCAATGTCTGGTATCTTGGAGTTGCTAAACCATCGATTGTCGATCCAAGTGAAATTAAGGGCACAACAGGGGCGGACGTTATACAATCACATTGCGGCCATTACCATGTTCCTCCCTCTGTTGATGATGTGCGTGCTTTCAGAATTTCAGGTCCTAAGTTTCTGAAGTTGAATCGTGGTACGTGGCACGCAGGGCCTCTGTTTAAGCAAGATGCAATGGACTTTTACAACCTAGAACTCAGCAACACCAATGTAAGCAATTTTTTAAGTCAGTCGATTTATACTGCTTTTTCTTTTTGTGATTTCTGTCAATTACTTGGCATCCTCTTCAATTCACCTGTATAGTTTAAATTGATGTTGTCAGTCCTAGTATGATTTACTTGTTCTTGGGGGTGTGTAATGAGATTCAGTCCAACAATCTGGCTTCCTTCATACTGTACTGTGAAACTCGATAAACTTGATTGTGGAAGTGATTATGTCCTTTATTAGGAATTTAAATGCATAGCAAATGTTGGAATAGACATCTTTAGCTTCTTTGCAATTTTAAGATGCCATTACTATATGGACAAAGCATAAGAGAAAGCTTGGATTGAAGGTGTTGATGGGGTTCAGCTATTTGCCGAGGAAAAGATAGCACCATCTTCACTTTATTTGTCAGATTCAAAACTTAAAAATAATAATAATAAAAACATGGCCAGAGTTATATCTGATGCCTTGACCATTATGCACCTTGGAGTAAAAGCTGGATCGAAACATATAGGTTCTACAGTCAAACAAAAGATGTAGTAGTGCTCATCCAAAAAGTTTCCCAGACACAAATTGGTGTACCACTAAGAATAGTGAACATTCTTCATAACTCTAATAATCAGCTAGAGAGAAAAGGTAAATTGATCTAAAATGACATAAGTGTTGCTTTCGTGGCAAAGAGTGGAAGATAATCTTGGCTGTGTGAATCTTAAACCATTTAATCTTCTTAAAGCTTTTCTACTCCTATCGCCTTCTGTTTTCATCATTTCCCTTGGGGTTAAGTACGCTAAATGTTAGTTGTGCAATGCTGGCTAGAGCATCAATGAATCAATAGTGGGGGTAATTGATAAATGAGAAGAAGAACCATTCTTTCTTTCAGAAGTTGATGAGAGCAACATGTTCAGCGACCAAAAGTTCTCTCTGTACAAGTTCTTTACAACATTGTGGAAGTCAATACATGCCATACTAAAGCAAAGAGGGCTATTGATCTCTCTCATCTAATCCTATGATCTTGCTTTGCTCTAGAGTGTTCAACTTACTGAATCAAAATATTTTCTTGTAAATAAATGCTGCTAAATAGTTAAGAGGCTAGATCTAATTATAGGTTCAGTTTAGCAATAAGTATATATATTTTATTTGGACCAGGGCACTGTGAATCTTAGGAGAAATTTTTTCGTCATCTTTGCCCATCAGCATTAATTTGTTAAGCCAGCCATTCTCAAAGGCTTGTTAGTCCAGATAAGTTTTGTGGTTGTGTATTTAACTTATGCTATGTGTGCATCTGCATTTTGTTGTCTTCAAAATAGCCTTTCTTCAAGAATGTGACGTTACTTGCTCTTTTTCAGGTGGTTGACCACACAACACATAACTTTGTTAAGAAGAATAACGTGGTCTTTATGTTGGATGACTAGCAAACTTCCTCCAACCGGGTGTCATCAAACTGTAACATAATATGCTGTTTTACACTTTCCTTCTTTTTCGTTTTGCCTGTTGTACATCTTCTACCCAAGTGAGAGGCGCTTTGTTACTGAACATTTGTTTTTCCGAAAGTAATAAGCAAAAGCTGCTCACATAAGCTTATATTTGATGCTTTTTTCTGTGTTTCTCGTTCACTTCTATATCTTTTTTGGGCTGTTGCCACCATCAACTTTTGGGTGCATCTACAGCTTTAAATTTCCTGGTGATAGTTGCAGTATGAGAGACCTTCCTACTAACAGTATCTGCAGCTTAAATCTTCTTTTGATGTGGATTCTGAGGCGGAAAGATGTAGTACCAATTTTTGTTGGAGCCTTGAGATCTCCCACCCTTGATGGTACTAGCGTGCAATCTGTACTCCTAAATGTTAACCAGTAGAGGTATAAACGACTCCAGTTGTGTTGAGCAGCACTGCTGCCGATAAATTTTGTTTATTTGTGATAACGAACTTGAAACTGCGTTCAAGGTTGAAATGTCCCTTGTTTTATTTTTTTTCAAGTTCAACTGCAACTATAGGTTGTGTATTGAGCACATAAATTCCAAATACAAAATTTCAAATTTGTTGAGCCGAAGGCTGAATTTGAAATTTTTACTGATTTTGAATCTTGGTCATGTATGGCAAGTAATCGGCAAAACTAACCCGACGATCTCTTATCAAACTGAATTCAATTCATGTGCAGTAATCACCATTGTGGGGCTCGGATCACTTAATGTACCTTATGTCTGGTCTTCCTCTTCTTCCGCTTCTCTCTGTTACCCTATAGTTCCAATTTTCTATACTACATCATTGGTTAACAAATTATTTGTCGTAAATATTCCGCAGATTTGGCTTATCGTTCATCGAATTCTAAAGGTAATAATTGGTATTTTGGTGTTAATTTATATTCCATTTGCGATTGATCGACGTAGGACAAACGAAACAAGGGATGAAAAGTGAAAACATGCATTTGCAATCAGGTCAACTGGAAAGTGATAGAAAACGAAGCATGAACTAAATAAAAAGGACTTCAGGAGTCGGGAATTGGTATGGTAATCCAGATTCGGATTCAACTGTGCGCCTTCGCCCTTCTTTAGGAAAGACTCTGGCTGCTACCTTAATTTATCATAGTGGCCAATAATCAAAGGTAGGATGATATGATATCCCCTCCAAGCATTCAGCCCCTCGAGGACATTTGACGAACTGCAACTTGTACCTCGGTAAACTTCCTGTGGTTTTTCATTTACAACTTCATACATATATGAATGGTGAAGTCAGAACAAGCCACAAGTGCAAGCCCATAAGAACTAATACGTTGGGATGCATTTCTATAATTGATTCAATAACTCAAAGTTACAGGCGAAGTTTATACCTACTCCTTCAGAACTAGAAGCTGCTACTATTAACCAGTAACGATCTTGATGGAATACTGAGAAAAATTTAAAATCTATTGTCGATTACCCAATTTGCCTTTTAGAAAAAAGAATCCCTGCAAGATTGATTCCACAGACAACTAACTTCATTCACTCTGGGGTGCAAGATTGATTCCTGCACTTGTGTATCATTTTTTTTTCTTGTGATTATGTTAAGTTGAACTGGAAAAATAGTTTCCAGCATGTTTTTCTTTTACTTCTGGAATGTCTTCCTAATCAGTCATATCTTTTTTTTTTTTAACATAAAAAGTAAATTTTACTAACGAGATTGCTAGAAATCGTCTAATACAGTTTGGTTTAGTTTCCATCACAGAAATTTGCACTAATAGCACGGGACATACTTAGCTTTTTATTTCTACCCTACAATTAATCATGTAAAGCCTAATATGCTTTGCTTGCTAATAGAGGAGGTGGAAGTATACCCTTTGCAATGTGAGGTAAAGTCCTGCCAGCCAGAATGAAACTTAAATAATCATGAAAACTACTCAGACAACTCAAGTTTGACGGATTTACCTCATACTGTCAAGAACTGCTTTCAGAACAAGCTTCGTACCGGTACACCGAACACCAACCCAATCTCGAATTCTTGCAACTACGAAAACAGCCACCTTTACCTTCTATTCCGTCATTTCTGACAGAAGGAACAAGGTCAGTGACATATCCAATGTGCTTTTCTGTTTCCTCAAAATAAAGATGCTCTATAGCATGCTTTTTTGCTTACCACAACATTTTCTCTCTTCCAAACAGCAGTTGTAACCATTCCACAACTAGAACAGAAGCTACTATAAAATCAAAGATGCTTAAAATGGCAGATAATCACCCTTCGCATAACCATGTAACAAGGCAGCATCACATGGAGTTTCAAGGTGCACATCTCATTTTGACCTCTATATGATCCCTCTTCAGTGAATATTTCAGTCAGACTTAAGCTATTAAGCAATATTCAAATTACCTGAAAAAATATTATGCGGTTTGAAAAAAAAATTGCTCTATTGGAGTAGAGATATATTCCTAGGCAAAGCCAATTTCATCCTCTGGATTACAAAGGAGAGTAATTAGAACGAGGCAATGAATTCTAAACTACTAAATTCAGTCAACATCCTTCTTTCAGTAATGGAACACTTTGGTTTCTAGAATGTTAGATATCAAGCCGATGATACACAGAGAATTCCAATGGAATGAGTTTCTGAATCTGGTACAAGATACCTTAACTTAATGTTATTATCAGAAAGGCCAGATTAAAGCACAACTCTCCTTCTATACAGCATTATTAGGACAGATATCCCATGTGCCTTGTATATTCTAACAAATCCACCCTGACTTGCAGAGCCTATAATCTGGGAGTTGTTACCACCTTTAAGCATCAAAGAGTATAATTTAAAAAAAAAAAAAAAAGATGCTTGTTTCTTACCGGTTTCCAGAGCAGAATTACATCCATTCAGGTAAAGACAGCCTCCACAAATTCAAAATGAATATATGATTAATATATGCGTTTTACTAAAATACTGAGAGGAGTAGAAGATCCAACCTGGCAGAATAGTGAAAATTCCACTTTCAGTGCTAAACCGAATTTTAAGATCAACGTCAAACTTAGCAATAATCACACAAATTAACCATTTCTTTTCTTGAAACTTGACATTCTTAATTACTCAAGCCCAGAATAGTGTACCAGCATAAGTTGGCACACAGCAAAAGACGAAGATAAGCATATAGGAGTTTTCAATGACACACATGCAGGACCAGCAAAAGAAAGATTAAACAACAAAATAACACTATGAATTCAAGGTCATAAAATGAAAACTTTTACAAGCACACAGGAAAATTTTAGTACAACAGTTTATTGATCTATCAAAAAGGCATTCAACACTCTAAAATTCTCAAAGGCATCAAGCTTTACATGTCGATTAGACCTTAGATTGAATGTAAACTACTACCATAAAAGGACACAAACTGTTCAACAGCGTGAGCAAACCATAGTTAATAAAAAGAAACATGTATACCAGTTAATGAGCTGTCTGGGGCAATATCTAGTAGTAAATTACAATCCACTCATTTAAAACAGCACCACAAACAAAATAATTTTTCATTGCAACTAGAATGAAAAGTACATGAGAGCCAAATGGAACAAGCACATCAAGATCTGGAATACCCTGCCACAAAACTAAACTAAAGCATAATAATGGGGAAATTATCAGACAATATCTCCATAGTTGCAAACCAAAACCTTAAGTTGACAGATAACCTAAAGGAGATAAAAAAGAAATAAACTGTCCAAGACAAGGGAGAAAAAGTCCTAGTCTAATCACTTGAAGATCCGTCATCATCTTCGCGCGCTGTCACAACCTTCTCTATAAACCTCTTCCTGACTCCATCAAGAACATCTTTCTTAGACTGGTCACCCCCACCCTGACCATCATTGAGAACTGGATCCGACTGACAGAGAACTAATGCAACACCTAAAGATTTGGAAATGCAGTTTATGAAATCAGTCAGAGAAAATAGCAGATTCGATTTACAAAAGATTAAAATAGGGAATCAAATAGTTATCATATTCTCAGTCCCTCCGCTAGTTAATCCTAATCTAAACAAAAAACAATAAGAACCATGAATATTCCATAAAACACAGGTTTCAAGGCAATATAGACATCAACTTCCATTAGAAGATATCAAGAGTTGCAGAAGCCTAAACTTCCAACATACCTTCAGGTGTGCATTTCCGACCAAAGCTACGGAGACCCACATAGTTTGCTTTGACTGCACTGTTGTTGTACACCAAAAGAGTTGGAATATTTTGATCAGGATAGTTAGGAATGCAGTCAGTAGATATAATTTTCACAAACTTGGTTGCCGGATATCTTTGAGCCAGTTCTTCCAAACATTGCAAAAGAAGCTCACAATCGGCGTGTCTATCAGAAAATGTGTAGTGTTAAACAATGTAGTACCTCCAACATAAAAAGTTACTAAATTTTGAACCAATATTTAAAAAATTTAAAATCACCACAAAGATAATAGTGAAGAGGAAAACAGTGCTTAATAAGTTATAATTACCCGTCCTTGTAAAGAACCACCACAACCCAAACATCTGCTGGTGCTTGTGAAACTTCTCGCACAAAATCAGATCCAGAAATCGGCATCACTGACCCAAACCTCGCAATTTTGGCTAATTCTCTCATCTCTGCCAACCTCTTCTTCCTTTGCAAAGTCACCAAAACACCTATTAGCTTCCACATTTACTGAAACTACACCAATTCAATAGCTCATTTTTCTCAAGATGCACCTAATTTTTCACCTCAATTACTGAAGAACTAAGTTCCACAACTGTTACCTAAATTCAAAATCTCTTTAGATGGGAAATAATTCCAATATAATCCTAATTACCAAGAAATTTAAAAAATGAAATTAACTTTCAATCCTCAGTTACTGAAATCCCAATATATGTATGAAGACAATTCAACGACCAAATACAGGAAAATCAAAAGGCCCACCACCCCAAAAATGAAAAAAGTTAAGAGGTACCTGTATTCTTGGAGGAAGCGATCATCGTCAAGATCATCTTCAAGGTCTTCAAGTTCTTCTTCGGTCTTGTCATCGACCCAGGCCTTGTCTTTGGGCTTTGAGTCGGGGTCTTCGGCTGGGGTGAAAGAAGGGGGCTTGAAAGCAGGGGCTTTGGGAGGAAGGTTCCCTAATTTTCTCTGGATATCGTCCCATTGCGTCGAGGCACCTTCCAGATCCTTGTACACAAAATGGTAATCTGCCATTATTTTTGTTGAAAATAATGCCCTTGTTGACAATCCTTATACTCCAACAGATCTAGGAATCCTCAAACAAAGTGATCTCTTCCACTATGCGCATTCGTTCTCCTACTAGGAGGAGATCGCGCGGTGGATGAATGGAATTATGCCCACTAATGTCCGATATATTTTTGAAATATTGTAATCCTGATGAATTAAAATAATAAAGATGAATTCAGGATTATGTTTTGAATAAGTATATTGGTAATTAAAATTTGAGGAAAAGTAATAAGAAGATTGGAAAATGTGTAATGTAATGTATTTAATAGTGCAATACGGAAAAGCAGTGATAATTAGTGGTGATGATTAGTAGTGTAATATGTTCAATAGAGTTGAATCCTTAATATCGGGAGCTCTCCCAATAACATAGCTATATCTTGAGATATAGAACTCATATGACCATGACTCTTCAAGATTGTGTGATTTGTGGATGTCTAGAGAAACCTGTAGTTGTTTGAGAAGATGCAATGGTATGAGACGGAGCACGTGCTTTATAGCCACAGCTTTGTATGTGCATCAAAATCAACCATAAATTCAGCTATGGTAGGTTGGAACCATAGCTTTGCATTGTACAAAATTAAGGATGCTGTCATCTAATACTGTGATAAATTGTTGAAGCCAAACACTTCCTAATTGGAGAAAAACACAATTCAGTTGAACGCAATAACGCTATCATAGAAAAAAAATATATGAGAAAGGAATTATCGACTAAGTAAAGAGGGCAGTTGATCCCTAGACAATCGTTGATGTTCCCATAAATATATTTATACATAAATAATTTTGGATGATTACTAATCATCACCGGGGCAAGAATTAAGAAAAAAAAGAAATTCAAACTGTCAAATGCACACTGATCGTGGTTGGAAAGATATTATCTTGCGTCTTGATCATGACAGTATAGGAGAAAAGCGAAAAAGCAGTCATCTCAAGTAGTTAATCAACTTTCGCACTCTTCATCCTAGAAATTCAGCCAGTAATTCTGTCAGAAGTACCATATCACAAGTGATTATTTAAAACAAAATCAATGAAAAGAATCTTAGGAGCGATTTGAAAATTTGAAAAATGTGACAATATTGTAAAACAAGTACACTGGAGTCATCTAACTGGTTTTCATCATTTTATAAGAAAGAACAAGGGTATGTGATGACTTGAAATTCAAAAACTCAAATTAAAACATATTTCTAATAAAAGATAAAAATGTAATCCCCTAACAAAGTTGACGTTAACTGTTTAAACAACCAGTCAAATAGAAAGTTGAAACTCCCGTGGATTATATGAGGGTATACCACTTAAAAGTATAATGTTGCAGATTTAATATTGAAGGCCTTATGAGGTGAACCATTTTATGTTGTCAACTTACAATGAATCGACTCTAAACATTTCAAGCTGATGTAATCTGAAACGCAAACTTTAAGAAAGGAGCTGATGTAATCTGGAATGCATACCAAAATGAACCATTTTTAAGAAAATTTTCTTTTGGTTGCTAATATTCGAATAAAATGCTAGGTCCTAATAAATGCTATAGTGAAACTATAGTCAAATTTCAGCCCAATCCATAATATTCGAACAAAATGCTAGGTCCTAATCAATGCTATACTGAACAATAGTTTGTCAAATTCCAACTATTGCCAACCCCATTTCTCACCTCAAATTCAATTTTGAAAGTTCTATCAACCTCCCTATATGGGGAAACCAACCCAGATACAAAATAAAAAAAAATTTCTTTTGCCGCAAGACTTCACACTGAGTTGATAGAGCATCTTACCTTCACGGAACTTGTATGCAAAATTCAACATTAAGCAAAAGTAGCAGTCTTCGATACCCCTTTATGTCAATACAATGCAAACCATAAAATGGTTTTACCTGGGAATAGAATGTTAAAAGATATAAGAACGTCGGCATAAAAACCTTAATTTACTGTTTGTTTCTTAATGACCATACCAACAAAATTATAAACAATAATATTTTCCAATTATATAGAGTTACCATTTTGGAAAATGGTCAATGGTTCTCAAAAAGAGAGAACAAATGATCTTCTATATTTGCACTTGTCAAACCAGAAAATACATTATTCACATAATTTAATACATTATTCAAGAAGAAGAAAGAGATGTAAATTTTTAAAGCCAATGTCACCACTGAATTTGAGAATAAGAAGCAAAAACACCAAAAACATGAGAATTTTGATACATTGATGACCACTTAACTCATTTTTGACCTCAACCAAGTTCCAGTGATTCTAGAATTCTACTGATTTAAAAAACATTGGAATGATATATAAATAATTTTAAAAAATAATACAACGATGAAACTAATAATAAAGGACAAAGTACAAAATATGACTACTCTTGCAATATGTAAGAAAAATATTAACAGATCATTTTTTGTGTTTAACAACTATTTTTAACTGCCTAAACTCTTGCAATTTTAGTCCATCTGCTGCCAAATAACTTTTGTGCCTGCATATCATCTCTAAATTATATAATACACTTCCCATAACAAGAAAATAGGTCATTTGGCTTGAAATGATTAGATTGGTTAAATATGCAATCTTAGAGAACATGTTATCTGATGGAAAACCAAATTTATGGTATACAAAGTCAAAGAAATTTCAAATACACACACACACACACACACACAAACACCAAAACACATACACTAAGCATCAATAGCATCTTCCAGTTATTCCTTCAATTGATTTCAAAAAGTTGAATGATTTCATAAAGACGAACAAGTAGCCAAGAATAAATGCATAATTTAATATTTCTAAGAAAAATGGCAATTTACTTACCGCTTCTAGCCTGTACAAAAAATCTAATATTTGGGACTTCTTCTTTGGCAAATGTTTTACTACCTACAAGCATCAAAACCATTTATATTAGTCGTATTAAGCAAAAACTGCCCCTAGGTAGAAAGCAATTGGTTAGTTTGTACAACTTAGATTCAAAAGATAGATATTGATAAGTCCTATCTGCGAGAAACCTGGCAATTAAGTAGACATAAAACCACCAAAACAGATCCACCACTTCATGATGTAATAAAGATACAAAACAAACAGAGAACAAACCTTCTCATACATAACTGCCCTAAAGATCCAAGATGTAAATAGTGAAATCCATAAATTGGTATTTAGGCCTACAACAACACAAACTGTGGAGAACAGTTTTTCAAGTTGAAAGATAGAATTCAAATTACTTTACGGTTGACTGTCTAAAAATTATTCAGCCTAAGAATCCTAAAACTACTGTGGTCGACGTATTACAAATTTCCCTGCATGATTACCTGCCTAAGCACAACATTGAAGCCTTAATTTTGAAATATATGTCTAGCTCCAATACAAATTCAGTAGCCAAACCAGCCAAGTTTGAAAAAGAAACTTTTTCAAGTCAACGCTGATAAAATTAGTCCAGCCATTACAGCAGTTTCAGTCTAATTAAGCAGAATTGAACATAAAGACATCATGGATACAAAAACAAGAGACCAAAAGAATCCCAACAATGGCAGGAAAAGACTCAAAACAAGAAATAACCAGACACTATGCACTAAATTTGGAGTAATTTACCTTACTCCAGGGGTTAAAAAAAAGGTTCCTACTCATTCCTTTCTCCGGATTTAATTCACCGACAAAAACTTAAGCAAAATTGATTAAATTAGATCAAAGAATGTTTATAGCGCAAAAACACTACGGCTCAACTAATTTTTTCAACATCTATTCTCTCGTAACAACTCAGCAGATGCTCAAGAATAAGAAAGAAAAAGGAAATATTCCAAATGGGTCCAAGTGCGTAGAGACTGAGTTTTTTTTTAAAGTTCTAAAAAAATTTAAGAAAATAAAACTTGAGCAGACGACACCTCCGGAGAACAGAATAAAATCCAGTAGATCTACAAGCCATTTGTAACGTATCTCAGAGAAAAAATAAAAGAGAAAATAAAGGTCCGAAAATAAAACTTGTGATACCGATAATGGTTGCAACCAGTCATGAAAAGTGAGTAGTCAAAGAAAATTTCGACAAAAACCTGCAAAATAACAAAATAATTATGGCAAAAAAGAAAGAAGAAATTAGTCATAAAATAGATAGAAATACTTCAGCAAGAAAATGAAACCAGTACCATGGAAACCTACAGATCCAAACAATAGAAAAGAAAACGATAGCAACAAAATAGATCGTAAATAACTACTTTAATAAAAGGAAAAAATAAAGGCTGTATAGAGAAAGGTTGTAAAAAAATTAAAAATGAAAATTAGGCTAATTAAGAGAGAAAGAGAAAGGAAAATACCAATGTATGACCTCTGATTTGTCTTGCACTGTTGTTTAATGTTTAATTAAAGGAGGAGCAAGGGAGAAGGAACCAGAGAAGAAAGAGAGAAAATAGCTTCGAAGAAGAAGAGACACGGTGAGCGGCGTAAATGAATTCTCAGCAACTCTGTCCATCCAATAAGGAGGCGAAATCTCAATTTTGTCCTCAATTGAATCCATCATCTCAATTGATCGGGGGGACTACCATCAATTCACCAATAAGGAGATGCCACGTCGGCAATTAAAACTCAATTGAGAACCCTGGCATTCGCACATAGACTATATACGTTAATAAGTGCTTGTAAAATGACTCCACATTGGATAAGCAAGATGAGTTTTATATAGGGATGACATCAGGGGCGGGTTTGGGGCGGGGGTTCCCTTCCCCGTCCCCTGCCTCCCTTCCCTGCTTTTCCCACGGGTGTCCGCGAGAGATAATTTAGTTTTTTTTGGATGGAAGATTTTATTCAATAGATCAAAACTATATTCAAAGAATAAAATTAAATATGAAATTGAAAAAAGTAAAACAAGAAAATTAAAACAAGAAAAGTGTTGAAATAAAACGTCAAGAAATTAAGAAACTCAATTGAATTGTATAAATAATATTTGAGAATACTCATAGAACGCGTAGCATATTTGTGCCAAATATCAATTAGGAATTTGGATAAAAATGGGATAAAGGCTATGATTAGTTGCCAAATATTCTAAATTTATTACTATTATAATATAATATAATATAATATATTTATTTATATTAATAAATTGAAACAGGGACGGGATTGTAAGGTTAACAGGAAAGAGTATTGCAGAGGAAAGAAAAAAGGTGGAAGGAATTCTCTGTTATTGAATGAGAAATATTTAGGCTATATATAGCCGTACAAAACAAACAGAAAATACAATAAATAAGGAGTCTCCTGCTAACTAACTCCTAAACCGAAAGACCTATTCTAAAGCAAAGAATCCCAAATGGAATGGGATTTACTGGCTAATATTGACTAAATCTAACAATTCCTCCCTTAAACTAAATGCTGAAAGAATTTAGTTTATACTGCTCTCTGCACAAACTCCAAGCATAGTACGCAGCTTCAGAAAAGCATCCAACTTAAGGGGCTTTGTCATCACATCAGCTATTTGTTCCAAAGTATTGCAATGAACTAACTCTATCATACCTGTCTGTGCAAGTTCTCGAAGGAAATGGAAACGAACATCTATATGCTTGCTACGACCATGCATAACTGGGTTTCTTGAGAGCTCGATTGCAGAGCTATTGTCACAATGGATAGTATTTTTCTCTTGTTGAGTCTGATCCAGCGTTTTGAGCACTCTTTTTAACCAAATTGCTTGACAAGCACAGGCAGCAGCAGCAATAAATTCAGCTTCGGTGGTAGACAGACTCACAATAGGTTGTTTCTTAGAAGACCATGATACAGCTCTAGAACCAAAGAGAAAAACATAGCCTGATGTACTTCTTCTATCATTCAAGTCACCCGCATAATCACTATCAGTGTATGCTATAAGATCATCATTTCCTCCCTTCTTATAGAAAATTCCATACTCAGTTGTTCCTTGCAAATATCTCAACACTCTCTTTGCTAGTTGTAAATGAAGCTGTGTAGGATTCTCCATATATCTGCTCAAAAGACTTACTGCAAACATCACATCTGGTCGAGTCGCAGTCAGATACATAAGACAGCCTACCAGTTGTTTGAAGTGAGTCTTGTCCACCTTAATTCCTTCTTCATCCTTGCAAAGCTTGAAACCAGGAACCATTGGAGTTTGAACAGATTTGCTTTGATTCATTTCAAAACGTTGCAACACCTCCTGAGCATACTTTCTTTGACCGATAAAAATTCCACCTGATTTCTGCAAGACTTCGAGACCCAAGAAATATTTCATTTTACCAAGATCAGTCATATCAAACTCATTCTTCATCGAGTTCTTAAACTCAGTGAACATCAACTCATCATTTCCTGTGAAAAGAAGATCGTTAACATATATACTTACAACAAGCATGCTGCCCTCAATGTTTCGTTTAACAAAAAGGGTATGCTCATAATCACATTTTTGAAAACCTTCATTCATGAAGTATGTTTCAATACGGCTGTACCAAGCACGCGGAGCCTGTTTAAGCCCATACAGAGCTTTCTTCAGCTTGTACACCTTTTCCTTCTTTCCCTCTTGAATGTAACCACACGGCTGCTCAACAAAAACATCTTCAACTAGTTCTCCATGTAAAAAAGCAGACTTCACATCTAATTGATGGATAGCCCACCCTTTTTGTGCTGCTAGAGCGATCACCAAGCGAACAGTCTCCATACGGGCCACTGGAGCAAACACTTCTGTGTAATCTATACCATATTACTGTGCATATCCTTTTACAACCAGCCTCGCCTTAAACTTGTCGACTTCTCCCTTCTCATTAAGTTTCGTTTTGTAAACCCACTTGACTCCAACTATTTTGACTCCTTTTGGTCGATCAATTAGTTCCCATGTGCCATTTTTCTCAATGGCTGCAATCTCGGCATCCATGGCATTTTTCCATTTTTCATTCTTCACTGCTTCTTCATAATTAAGTGGATCGGCAGCCGCTGTATATGAGGCAAAAAATGCTGCCTCTTCTTCATCAGACAAACCTTCACCTGAAACATAGTCTTTCAACCAAGTTGGTTGCTTCCTACTCCTCCCTTCCACGGGATCTGGAGGAGTTTCTTGATTAGTGGTAAGAGACTCCTCTGACCGTGTGTTAGCAGCATCTTCTTCTACAAGAGATTCTTCAGTCACTGCCTTTTCATCATCTTCCCATTCCAGCTCCCAAGTAATAGCTGATTCATGTTGCTTATCCCATTCCCATTCTTCACATTCTTCAAAAACTACATCTCTGCTCACCACAATCCTTTGTGAGATAGGATCGTAGAGCCTGTACGCCTTTGATTCCTCGCTAACTCCCAGTAAAACACATTTCAAGCTTTTCTCATCTAGTTTAGTTCTCGAGCTGTCAGGCACGTGAGCATAGGAGACACAACCAAAAATTCTGAAATGTTGAACTGACGGCTTGATTCCGCTCCAGGCTTCTTCTGGTGTTTTGTCTTTTACAGCCAGCGTTGGACTACGATTTAAAATGTGCACAGCCCAATTTACTGCTTCTGGCCAGAAAGTTTTAGGCACTTTCTTTCTAGATAGCATGCTACGAACCAAATTCATGATAGTCCGATTCTTCCGTTCTGCAACGCCATTTTGTTGTGGTGAATATGCAGCTGTCAATTGTCTTTGCACTCCATGTTCCTTGCAGAAATTGTTGAATTCTCGAGATGTAAACTCTCCACCACGATCCGTACGCAACATTTTTTGGAGACGTATCTGTTGCTTTCTCAACATGTATCTTGAAGCTCTTAAAGATGTTAAAAGCTTCTGATTTTTCTATCAAAAAATACACCCATGTTTTTCGACTAAAATCATCAATAAAAGTAATCAAGTACCTTTTCTTGCTATTCGAGGCTGGCTTAATTGGTCCGCAAATGTCGGCATGAACTAGCTGCAGAATCTGAGATGCTCTCCAAGAACTTTTCATTGGAAATGAATCTCGATGTTGCTTCCCCACAAGACAATCTTTGCACAGCTTCGAGGGTGGCTTAAGTAATGGTAGACCTTCCACCATTTGTTTTTGCTGCAAAATTTGTAAGCCTCTGAAGCTTAAATGCCCAAACCTGCAATGCCATAGCTGCGCTACATCTTCTGTGACTGTGTTAAAACAAGTGGGTGCTATAGGCAAGGAGATGGCATGCAAGATGAACATTCGATTTGCAGACATATTAGCTTTCATGATCAAACCTTTGTTAGGATGATATATTTTGCATTGCCCTTGTTGGAATAAAATGCTCAGCCCTTTCTCTTGCAATTGTCCCAGACTCAGCAGATTATTCTTCAATTCCGGAACATAAAAGACTCCTGAGATGATGCTAACAACTCCATCAATCTCCAACCTGATGTTGCCCTTCCCATTTACCACCATGTTTGAATTATTTCCCAGCTTCACTGAATCTGTGAATTTTGCATCAAAATCTGAAAAATATTCTCTTTTTCCACTCATGTGATTGCTGCACCCAGAGTCAAGAAACCACATGTCTGTTTTGTGTTGCTTCTTTTCTTCAACATAAGCCATCAGCAGCATGTGTTCTTCACTCTCCACTTGACTCTCTGCAAAATTGGCCACTTCTTTCTTGCATTCCCATTGAAAATGACCAAGCTTGTGACAAGCATAACACTCCACAGTTGCTTTGTCAAAGCTTTGTCTGTTTCTTCCACGGCCTCTGCCTCCAAAGCTCCCACGTCCTCTTCCTTGTCCTGCATATTGGTTTCCATGGGTCGCCTTCAGTGCATGTTCTTCATGTACAGTGTTACTCATGCGTTGTTCGTGCACGAGCAAACTGCTTTGCAGCTCATCAATTGACAAAATACTTGTATCATTAGATTCTTCAATTGAACAGACGACATAATTAAACTTAGGTGTCATTGACCTCAGAATCTTTTCCACAACAGCAACATCTTTCAATTCTTCACCATTGACTTTCATCTTGTTGGTGATGACAAGAACACGAGCAATGTACTCATTCACAGATTCTCCTTCCTTCATGTGAGCAATTTCATACTCCTTTCGCAATGCCTGTAGGTGAGCACGCTTTACTCGCGTTGTTCCTTGATATTTCTGCTTCATAGAGTCCCAAATACTCTTTGACGTATCTTTGTTGACGATAGTCTCCAAAATGGAACGATCTAACGCCTGAAACAGATAGTTCTTAGCTTTGAGATCCTTCAACGTCTGCTCTTCACAAATTTTCTTTTGTGCCTCAGTTAAAGTCACACCCTTTGCTGCTGCAAAAACTCCATTTTCTACCACATTCCAGTACTCCTTTGATCGAAGAAAATTTTCCATGAGCATTGCCCAATGATCGTAGTGACCATCGAACCTCGGCACTGCTGGTTGAATAAAGGCACTCTCTGTTGCCATTTTCGTTGCCTGCACTCCCTTAGAAGATTGCTGCTTCTACGTACCGAGCCTCTTGCGAGGCTCTGATACCAGATGTAAGGTTAACAGGAAAGAGTATTGCAGAGGAAAGAAAAAATGTGGAAGGAATTCTCTGTTATTGAATGAGAAATATTTAGGCTATATATAGCCGTACAAAACAAACAGAAAATACAATAAATAAGGAGTCTCCTGCTAACTAACTCCTAAACCGAAAGACCTATTCTAAAGCAAAGAATCCCAAATGGAATGGGATTTACTGGCTAATATTGACTAAATCTAACAATGGGGATATCGTCCCTCGCCCCATTTAAAACGGGAGAGAAAAATTCCCTCTTCCCCGCCCCCGCCCTATTACTTCCTTCGCGGGGCGAGTACCCGTCTCCTTTGTCATCCCAAATTTTACAGCAACTAGTGTTTCATTAATCTTACTTGTGCTATCATCTTACCACGTCCAAGCGATCGATGGTTACATTATTGTGAATGGACACCCTGAAAACAGAAGTCCCCTAAAAGTTGAAATTCATGATCAAATGGTTGTATTGGTTAGGAAGATCAAACGGTTTCCACATTGCCAATAACACCAACCCTTCTCCTCAGGATCTCTGTATAGTTTGTCGTTGCCACTTGCCACCCACAACTTTGGTGTTAGGTTTCACTTGTAAAGTGTTGCACCTTTTCCATTTAATGTTAACGTGATACATATAAACGGAATACCATCCAATTTGTATTGCTCGTTCAATTTGGTTATCTTCTTATTTCAATCTCCTCTTCTATTTGTATTTTACAGACTAGTGTTAAAAGACAAAAAAAAAAATCAAATCCCTGAACCAATTTTCGTAAAACAAGAGTCTGTTAAGTTCCACGCCTCTACATTATACCTTCTTACCCTGCACTTCTATAACTATTGAAATTTTAAACCCTGCATTAATCATTCATCTAATGCACCTTCTTACCCATCTCACTAGAGGATTAAAACAGCCGAAACAAACGAACATCATCAAATTATAGTGTTGAAACTTATAATTTTACTTTTCGAAGTAACTCAAAATCGTTGTCAAGTTAGTTTTGGGTATTTAATCTAAATTTGAATTGAGCTCAAATAGTACTCCATTTCTTTTCCATCTCAAGTGTATCTCCCAAATTTAGCCCCAAAGGAACTCCTAGCAAATACCTCTTAACGTTGAAACTTGGTTTTACGATATGAACTAACTCAAAATCGTAGTTTTATGTTAGTTTTTTAGTATCAAGTCTAAATTTGAGTCGAGTTAGAATTGCAGTTATCTTCCCTCTCAAATTTAGGGAATTCTACAATCCCAATTATGATTTCCATAATTGGGTTTAGGTAATTAAACCTCAGGCGCCTTGGCGACCGTTTCGTAATAGTTATTTGTAATCAATGATTATTTTTTAAAACCCCCATTAATTGCCAAAGTGAGAAAGAAAATCTGCCAATATTTCATCAAAAATTCAAATTCCGGCATTTCAACGTATATTTCCCCCATCATCACAAAAGCTTAACGCTCCAGCACCACCAGAATATATTGTGAATTCGTATACAAGTACTCTTGGTACTTTGAAGTTCAAGACCAAGCCAAATTTAGGCATGCATGCGTGCATGGCGATTGCAGATGCGGTTGAGTGAGTAAAGCTGCAAAATGGAAAGTGGAATAGTGAAGCAGGAGCTTAGTTTCATATATGGCGATCTTGAAGGTGAAAAGCTTATCGATATTACAGAGGAGGATGATGATCTTCTCATCAATTCTGATTATTTTGATTCTCTTGAAGACCAATATATTCGCCTCTCAGGTTAATTTTTTACTCCTTTCATTATTTTCTTGATAGTCTTGTCCCTTTTTGTTCATGTTCTTGGACTTCAAAATTGATATCGCTGTATTGATGAACTTGAATGCATCTTCGGATTTGTTGAATTGGGTCTTCCCAATTTTCACCTTTTCTTGTGAAACTACTGCTCGAAGTAACGCTTTCTTGATCGAATTGAGCTTAAATTTTGAGCATTAACCTGGAGACAATTCTGGTGTGGGATAGTTCTTTATAGCTGGAAGGGGTTATAAAGTTACAATCTTGGGGCAATATCATGATGCACTCTTGTTTTGATCTCTCTGTTTATGTGGAATATCTGCATTTTGGGAGAAGGAAAAAGATGGAAATAAACGTTTACTTCCGTTTTCCTTGATCTATTTCACTACTGGGAAATCGATTATTCATATTCTTGTTGACCCCATACTATTGGTTCAAATGGGCTTAATGCATCTTTCAATGGAGGTCAATCATGATTAACAAAATCTTGATTTTGTCACGTTCACTCTGTTCTTCTCTATAATCTGATGAAGGACAAGGTCATTTCAACAATGATTTGTGTCCCCCCCCCCCCTCTTTCCCCCTTTTGTCCCTCCACCTAATCTAATATAATGTAATTTTCAGGGTCTATAAATTTTTTGGACCATGCATAGAGTGCTTTAAGTTGAACAAGCTGAGGCCTTTAAGAGGGAAAATACAAGAAATCATAATCTTTGTATTACCCAAAATCTTTGAAAAAAGGTTGTCAGGATCTGTCTTCATCATTTTAGAATCTGCAACCACTAATGGACACATTTTTCGTGTTCTTTTTGTAAAGCTATTGTCGAGTGGAGATATTGTCTGTGTCTTGGTCTTATGTTGCACATATGCATTAAATTTAGCACTAAAAGTTATACTTCTCATTACTTGCTCTCTGAGAATAGTGCAATTCAACTGTGTAATCTATGTGCCGCATGTATAGCAAAGGAATCAATAGTTGCAATGGTTTTATGTATTTATGTAAGGGAATTGAGAATAGAAATAGTTGATGACTATGAGTAGTAGTCTAGGACATTTGAGCTGAAGTGCTCACCCTCTATGCATATGTCACAAGTAACTGAAATCAAAATGAAATAACATAAGTACATCAGCAGTTGTAGAGATCGCCGATTAAAACATCTTTTATCCACTCATTCGATTTCAAACTCTCTCCTCTCCCCTGATATAAAGGTCATTGAAAATATTGACTCTTTCAGCAAGATATGATAATCCAAATAAGCATGAGGGCTTCAAGTCGCCAGAGTCTCAACCGTCTCAAGAAATTGAAAGCACACCACTGGAAAAGCTCCAGCAAGAGGGACAGAAGCTATCTTGTCATGATTTTGTGCCAGCAAGACCAAGCTACTTGCGCCAAAGTTTGGCTTGGGACAGTGCCTTCTTTACTAGCGCAGGTGGCTTTCTCGATCAATGAGAGACTAAACGTCTTTAGATTTACTGCCTTTGAATTATATCTTCTATGCCTTTATGCACCTGTTCATTTTCAGAATTTTCAGAATGTTGTTCCTTTTACTAGGAATTCTTGATGGTGATGAGTTAACTTTCATTAATGAAGGCTTCAGGACAGCTGAAATGCAAAGACCACCTGATACTGGTAACAATGATGCTTTTTCTCTAGGTAGCTTTAAGTTTGATCTGTTCTTTTATAAGCGCGTGTTGAAATATGAACCCAATAAAATTTTGAGTGTCGTTAGTGCAAGTTGTGAACTACCATCTAGAAATGCAAGCTTGCATAACATCCAAATCGGAGAGTAAGTACATTTTATAGCGACTGAGATGAACTTGAAGAAGAGCTGAACCAGGTCTTTTCCTTCTCTTTCCTTTCTGTTCAGAGCAATTGAGCATAAGGCTTGAGCTTTACTCCGAGATTAATAAGACACAAAGATGGTCTTACAGTGTCCCCTTTTCTGCATGTTAACTGACATAGAGAAACTATAGGTTGTTGGAGAGATTTAGTGATGAATAATGGCAGCTTAGTACTAAACCAGCCGTAAGTTGTTGATGATCTGACTGGGTATGTCATTACATGCTTGTAGCAGCCATGACTTCTGTGCGCTATTGAAATGGTGTTCTGAGAGATGTTCGAGGCTGAAAGTAAATGTGCTGTGTGGAGCAGGAATATCCTGTTTGCACATAAGCCTCTTGCCTAGGGAATCTATATTTTTGTGGCCTCCAATGGTCCTTTGCTTGTTTGTGGAAGTCATTCCCTCTTCATAAATTGCTCAGCTGGTATCTTTTCATTCTGCTATTCATTTTTTTATTTATCAGAACCAATGCTTATTGTATGGTGCTCTTTTCAGCTTCAAGGAAAACCAAGATTGGCATTCAGAATAAGGTACGTCAAATCATCAGAATCTGAAATGTGTTGCTTATTTCATTGAGAATGAATCAACTTGTCCTTTGGTTTTCTAGATTAAATCATCAGCTTTAGAGGGAAGAAACGTCAATACTCAAAGATCAGTCAAGAATAAGGCTGAGGTTTGTCATTTCCTCATTGTACAGCCAATGCATAATTGCATAGAATGAATTGATGCCTTCTTTTGCTCAGTAGCATGTTTAATAGAAAGTGTATCATCTCCAGTTGCTGAATGAGGTCCCTTTCCTGTAATCAAACAGCTGAGGTGCTGTATTCTTTCTTTTGGGGAATTAGTTGGGGGGGGGGGGGAATAAAGGGCAAAAAGAAATATTTCAATTGCATAGTTTCTTCATGTTTTAGCATAAACAAATTATTGAGGTTCCAAATGATTGACATCGTCAATTTTTCTCATCTTTTGATCAATGAAGCACATGTCTAAAGGAGAAGAGACCCCTTCCCTGCCTCTCAAGGCTCCCAAGGTACTCAGGCGAATGACAAATGCATTGATGGGACAAAGCAAGAGTGCTAAAGTGGAGAATGTAGCTGCCAAAACTTCATCTGGTAATGCGTTACATCCTTGGAATACAATGAACTTCGAACTTTTGTACGTGTTTAGATGTAAGTATGTAACCAATTGAGAAATCTGCTTTGGGAAACTCATGCATTTATCCAGCTCTGGTTCAATTTGATTTTCTGAGTGCTGCCAAAGCTTCAACAATTTCTAGTTCTTCACATGATAGAAGTACAACTGCGTCATCTATTAAAGTTCTTTCTTCTCTTCTGAAACGAAAAACAGGATCAAGAAACAGCACAGTGTCTGACTCGACTTCCACTTCTGACGCTGCAGTGAGATACCTGTCCAAAAGTAAAGGGTTGAGAAATTGTAGATTGTCAACTCAATCATTGTCACTTTCCAACAATTTTTCTTCCGTATCACCCGCTGGTTCTTCCTTCGGTATGTCATCCTCTGGACCAGGATCAAGAACCAAGCAAAAATCTAATGATACAGAAGTTCATTTTGATACTCCAGTTACATTGACAAGGACCAATACACAAGATGAAGTAAATCCATCACCACATTTGACAAATAACCTCCACAGAAAATTCACTGCTTGCCTGCTGAATAAGCAAACAAATTCTCTAGTTCTTCAGAGCAAACAAGGTTCAGCTGATGCTTCTCATGTCCCAACTGAATCTAGGAAAAAGCTTAAACCATCATATCTTCGCATGCCATCACCAAAGATTGGGTTTTTTGATGAGGTACTTTTAGTTTCACCGGCTAATTTTTATGAACACATTGATCTACTTACCCTGAATAAGAACTCTTTAGTTTAGTTCATTTGTGCGGCTTGCTGTTCAGTGATATGTCTCTCCTGTGCAGCAGAAATCGTTGATCCCAACTGTTGGACAAGGTTTACAGTTTCATTTTGAAATGCAGTGCACCCCACCTACAAAATCTGGGCCTACAAGTAGGAAAACACCTGATAAACCTCTAAAAGCAAGGACTTCGTCAGAGACAAGGTGCATGAAACATGGTTCACAAAGCACTAATCCTGTTAAAGACAAAAAGCGAAGAGATGTTTCATCAGATGGAAAGCTCAAGAGTTGTTCCCCACAAGGTTGGAGCACCATGAAATCTGGGTCAGATTCAAGTTTGAGATTTCAGTCTGGTACATGCGGGGAAACAGAAGAAAAATTTTGCTCAAAATGCAGGAAAGTTCATTCCGGGAAATGTGAGCAAAAAAGAGTTGGCCACACTGATGAAAGGACAAGGGTTAAGGGGAGACTGAATAGTAGGTTAAGCAGAGATGCTATGGTGCAAAGAACTGATCCTGTCCTTCAACCACAGCCATCAGCTCCGGTTAAGAAAGAGAAAAATAGCCGCAAGCAACACAATGCCAATAATTCGCATTCATCAGTTGAGGACAAGGCAAAAACTTTGGCAAATCTTAAGGATCAAGTTAATGATTTAAGCAGGTATTTTGAGGTCATTGATTTGAGCAGGGAAATGCTGACAGATCAGAAAGAACATGATAATGGTTGCCCTGTTTCTCAGGTTGACAACAATATATCGAAATTGAATGGTGACAACAATGTCATCATGGCACATGGTCAGAAACAGGACATGCTGCCTAACACAGTCCCGGGTTCTAGTCCGCTCTCAAGCTCAAGAACTCCATTGGCTGACAAAACTTCCATCTCCAATGCAACTGGATTATTTACTCAGTCAACGACAATAGAGAAGTTAGCAGAGAAGCCATCAAAATCCCCTGCTCCAGAAGGCCTTCCTAATTACAAAGAGAACACCTTAGCCCTATATGAACTCTAGAATTTCCTCGTTGATGAAGAATGCAGAAGTTGTCATGAAGGTTTTAACCGGCTAATGTGGATTTTAATTATATTACCAGTGATCTTGGCTTGAACCAATTAGATCAAATAATAGACATGAGACGGAACAAACAGATCTTAATTTGGTCATTGTAAACATACACATGATATAAGTGCCAACTGGGAAAAGGAACCACAAGAGATTAGCAGTTTATTCTAAGAAGCATGAAATAGATCTACAAAAGACAAATCCAACTCCTGCTATCCCACTAATACATAGATTGCATAAACGATTCCCGGTATGTATCCCAGTATAGTCAGCAACAAATCAATCCAGAATTCCACCTGCAATTTCAAGAAAAATAAAGCAAAAAGAAGGAAACAATGTCAATGCCTGCCATCATTAATAACTAATCTGAAGAAGAAAGATTAAAATGGCAGTTGTAATTCATTGCGGTGAAGTTCTTTAGCACATTTTGTTATAAAACTCATACAGATGAAACTAATGCAGAAAGAAAAGCAAAGGCATTACCCCACATCCATAACGGAGGAAGACTCCAACAGGGGGTAACAATATTGCCAATAACACTTCAAGAAACGTCTCTGAGCCCATACTCCGATTTGATCTGCTTAGATTGAAAGGTTTTTGCTAGCTATCCAATAAACCCCCCACAAATTATTTGTCCCTGCTACTAATGAATGTACACAAGGCTAATTCAGTTCCTTAAAATTTGAGGGCTAATATCTAGTTATGAACGTAGAGAATAAAAGCAGTTTGAAACGGCAGATGAGGGGTTGTAGCCATGGAAATGTGTCAGCTATGCAGGAGCAATGGTGATATAAACCGACCACGTGGAAGTACACGTGGCATGATGTAAACATGTTTAGTTGTCTCCTTCCCCTTGACCCGGATCGTAGCCAGAAGAAAGAAGAAATAGCTTTAAAGTTAGCGTCAGACTCCCGTCTGATGGAGAAACCACAAATCAATACTTATGAAATCTTTTAATACATTACAAAAAATTAATTTTTACCCTCATCATCTAATCACATTTTACTTACCTTTGTAGACTCATAATCACCATAATCTAGATACGAAATTACTAAAACATTATAAACCAAAGTTCTTTAGTGAAACAATTTTATATCAATTTGATTTACGTAAAAAAAAACAAAAATTTTGAATAAAATTAATTCATTTTAATTATTTTTAAATTGTACACACATTGGATGTGCCTATAATACTAGTAACAATAGTTGCTATATATAATATATATATATATATATATATATATATATTTAGCAATAATTTCACTCAGAAATTTGTCTCTTACACTTATTCATTATTGAGCGAATTGGAGTGAAAAAGAAAAAGTAATTTGAAACTATGAATATCACTCTCCTAACCTTTTTTTTTTTAATTACCAACTTTTCTTTAAATATTCACACACAAGGACAAGAATTTCAAGGAGAACACTTTGTCCAATATGTGATTTGTTGGGTAATAATTATTCATGCGCTAATTAGTAAAGAGTTACCCATTAAACATTTGCTACAAGTTCGAGATGGCTATAATGTACATTGGACATGCTCGAAAACAAATAGTAGATTTCAAAACAGGCAGCGGGCTATGGACAAGAAGAAGTATAGTATTCAATATTCCTGCATGGAAGAATCCGTTATTGGCCTTCCATAACTGTTTAATAAGCTGAGAGGCCATTAATGGAATAGAATAATGTGTTCGAATTTCGAATTTGGACAGTTCTCAAGGCCTTCATTCCATTTCAATCATACCAGGGATGAGAAATGTGGAGATGGAAATTTCCTTGGACGGAGAGGACCACCCAATAATCAAGAAATTACCTGTTCAAGCAAAGCTCAGCTGATCCTTTTCACTGCAGAAACTTTTGCTTTGCTTCTCAGTTGGAAATCTGATAATTACACTCCAAAGCTGTAGACTTCTGATCCAATTTGATTCCATTGAAATTTTCTTAAATTTGGGACTTGTGGTAATCAAGTATGGTTTGGGATCCTGTCATCCTGAAGAGGCCCCGTCATGGTAATGGTGTCTTAAGGCTCCGCAATCTTCTACACAAAGCATCCTTGTATTGGCTTGATCTTCATTGCCTCCAAAAATTCTTGCCAAGCCAAAATCTGATATCTTGGGTCTCAGCTCTTTATCTAAGAGAATATTGCTTGCCTTTAGATCTCTATGAATGATTTTTAATCTTGAATCTCTGTGAAGGTAAAGGAGGCCTCTGCCAATCCCATCAACGATGGTGACGCGTTTTTTCCAATCAAGTACACTTGGCTTATCAGAATCTGAAAGAGCAATAATGACGTAGATCAATATGACTCAGTATAAGGTATTACGGAAAATTTCCTGTGCCGTATAGTGCTGCTAGTCGAAAAACCTGGTTTTTTGGAACTGAAGAAAAAAAAAAAAAAAAAAGTGCTGCGATGTTCATCAACAAACCGAATAGATGGAAGTCCAGGCTTTTGTTTGGCATGTATTCATAGACTAGCATTTTCTCTTCTCTTTCAGCACAGCAGCCAATGAGTCTAACAAGGTTCCGGTGCTGGAGTTTAGAAATGACCACAACTTCATTCATAAACTCCTCAATGCCTTGGCCAGAAGTGTTGGAAAGCCTTTTCACTGCAATTTCCTGGCCATCTAACAGCTTTCCCTGCAGATGCAATGATAATTAAGTTCCAATCCTAGCAAACAACTCATTTAGTTCTTGAAGCAGCGTGGAATACCATCAGGAGCTTACTTTACCTTGTAGACTTGACCAAAACCACCTTTGCCCAGCTCATTGCATGGTTCAAAGTTATCTGTTGCTTTAGCTAGTGTTTCATAAGTATACAGAGGTAGCTCTCCTAACTTGGCTCGGTCCCCAGTTTTGTTGACCATGTTTTCCACATTATACGTAGGTTCAAACAAAGACACCTGATCATCTTGGTCTTTACCTATTTATGAGAAGGTGGTAGGTGAATGCATGAATATAAATGACAACACATGAGAAATTAATTAAGCACAGTTTGAGCATATTAAATAATCTCACCTTTGTGCTTAGCCACCTTTTCCAACAAAAATAAAGAGAGACGGCAATAAATAAAGATGCTGCAACCACTATGACTGCAGTGACTGCTTTCGTATCCTTCTTTTTATCTGTATTTCAAGTGTTGAAAGCATAATCTCAGAATTTTCATACAAGGAATTAAGTAATATGCCCTCATTTTGGTCATTTTGATACCTTTCTGGTAGAAACACAAACAAATTTCATCATAACTTCAAATAGATCCAAAAAAATGTGAAAATTATCAGTTTTGGACTTTTGGATTGATTGCAAATTAAAAAAAAAAAAAAAAACTGGGCACAAATCCTTAGACAAGTATAAGCAATTGATAAGTGAAACACCTAACCATAACAAGAGTATAGAAGATATATCTTACCAAGTTCAGAATAAGGTACGCGTACATACAAGTCTGCCCCATCATAGGAGAAGTGCTGCACATCGATTAGGTTGCCACTCCAGTGCATACATCCTATCCCTTTGTAATATGCATAAGCTGTGCAAGAGCAATTTTTCAAGCAAGAACTACCACATGCTTCTTCTGAGATACTACCAGCACAAGGAAATCTGGAACTTTCATGTTTGGGAGTCTAACAAATCCATCTTCTTTGGCATCTGTACTGGAAGATTGATTTCTCTCACATTTCAACAATTCCTTTCTTATGCATCCACCACTCCAATGTCCTCTGTTCCATTCCTCTTCATCTCTTGGCTTAAAACCTTGCAAACACGTACAAATTGGTGACTGTAGACGATTGCAGCTTCCAAAAGGTCCACATTTGCCATAAATATCACATTGGCTTTCTAGACTTGACCACGTTACACTCCAATCTCCTTTCCAATTGAGACCTTTGCCTGTAAACACCCTGAGGAATTCAATGAGTAGTAGAACAGAGCCGGATTATTTACAGAGTTGTAGGTAAAATAAGTAGATCCTGAATTGTCCTCCACCAGATCTAATCGACTCTGATAAGCAAACTCATGCCAGGTATTCCGATGAACGTATTACCACTCCATGGACCACTGCGCCAGCAAGGTACATTATTCTCCCAAACAAAGAACTGCGGAGGTCGGAAAAGATGAAAGCCTGCAGAGAAATCTCCAATGGAAGGATCAGAAGGGCTTCTCCAGGAAGTTAGTTGGAGCTTCTCTTTTGCACCCGCACTTAATCTCATCTTTGGCACCAAAGAATCAGTAGGAATTTGGAAACTCTCCACATCGTACTTCCATCTGAGTTGTCTGTCAAGACTAAGTTCCCAGTATCCAAAAGTTTGGCACTTGAGCTTGCCACCGACTTTGAAACATTAGAAGACCATATGGTCTCCCTCTCCCCATTCAAGATTACAAGGTCACCGTCTTCTGCAATTGTCAAATTCCGGTAGAATCCTTAACAGGTTTGTCCCTGTTAGCTACCCATATAACAGTTGTTCCAGGAATATTGTACATGATTCCAACATAGCGATTACTAGTGTTTGCAGGACTAAAAAAGCCCAACTTGAAGGTTTGCCCGGAGGATACTATAGTTTCATTGTCTTGGACAGGCCTACCGATAGTAATGGTGTCTATGGCAGTACCACAAACTGTTAAACAGGAAGCAAGTACAAGAACAAAAGATTCCCTCATTGAGACTGGAGATTCATTGTTTCTTTTTCTTGTCAGTGCTGCCATCAGAGTTAGGCCAGAGGAAGGTACAGTCCTGGAGGAATTGTGTTAATGTTGGATATGTCAGATTCATTCACTCCCTGAAAGGAGTAAGAAAGTAGGAGAAATAGGGAGTCCAAAATTGTGGCTGCCTGTATCTCTACGATGAGCCTTGAATTAAATGGCTAATCCAATTATTAGACCTCGTGTTTTTTTCCTGCCTTTGACGTTTCTGTCCTGGTCCTCCTGGATGGCTACGTGACTAGTACTTGAGTTACCAGTGGTCTGTTGGCCTAATTGTCTGCTAGATCAGTAACTTGTGGTATCAATTGTCCTTGCTTAGCACATCAAGAATGACTAAACACAGTATGAAATTTTTTTTTTTTTTTTCATCATTTATCAGCTTGCTCAATATGATCTCCCTTGGAACGACTATTAGAAAAAAAAAGTTATAGAAAAATCAGGAAAAAGGGTTTAATCTGCCAAATTGGGGACATAATTGTGTCATGGTAGACAGAGAGGATAGATGTTCTTGCTGGGGCAAGTCATTTAAAGCTCCAAGACAAAAAGTACAGAACAAATTGTAGCATGCATCCATAAAGGCCAAAAAAAATATTGAAAAACATTTCCACGCACTCCCACTCAATTCTAGCTCAAATAATAAATAAATACGAAGATCAGATGTTCCTTCTAGTATTTTATTTTATTCTCATTCTTTTCTTTATTTGGTTGCTGCCCTACCGGTTACTACTATACTATACTCTTTTCCTTGCTTTGCTTTGATCTACCAAAGATTAATCCACGTGGCTCGTATATCATCAACTTTAATCACTGAACCTATTCTATTAAAGTTGTAAGCTTATTATAGTACTAAATCACAGGAAGGGCATACTTTTTATGGGCAAATTCCACTTTACCCCCTTGTGATTTAGCTTTTTTTTTACATAACCCCTTATGGTTTCAAAATCTATACATAACTCCCTCATGGTTTGGATTAAAGTGTCAAAGTGACGGAAATGATCATTCGTAATGGAGTTACCTAAAATGTCAAAAAATACCCTTATGTAAAATTGAAAATTATTTATTGACCAAGGGGGTTATGTGTATATTTTGAAAACTATAAAGGGGTTATATGGTAAAATATTAAAACATAAGGGGATTATATGGTAAAACATAAAAATCATACGGGGTTAGTGTGTTGTGTATTTATAAGGGTAATTTCGATATTTTTAAAAGTTCCGTTACGAATGATTATTTCGTCACTTTGATACTTTAATCCAAATCATGAGAGGGTAATATCTAACTTT